AAAATACCTCAAAACCTAGCATTTAATTGCTGCTGTTCTTTATTTGCCACATTAGCCTTAAGTTCAGTGTGTTTTAATAATCACTTGCCAGACCCTTTAAAAGCAGCATTGTTCTTTACTGTGTATTGCTGGGAGGCGGTATGCCTAAATATTAACTTTGGAAAAATAATTGATTTGATATTTGGATCAATTTGCTTACTTCTATGCCACTGACACTTTATTACAATTATAATAGAAAGCAGTTATACCTGAGAGGCCCTTTTACAAATAACCTGTACCTTTCATGCTGTGCCAATGTCGATATATTCTAGATCTTCCGAACAGAATACGGGATCTAATTTCTGGTATTCAACAAGCCGGAGGTTGAAAACGTTTCACTTCAACAATTTCAGACATATTTAGATGCCCCTGATGCAAATGGCCTTGTCTAGACCAGGCATGCTTTTACCCAGAAAGAAGTAGCGATATTCTACATAGGCATAAGGTTCCTAGTATGGGCCTGGCCCTAACAACAAAGCTGCAAAGGCTTCCAACATGATACAGTTGTAACTTTCACCTTCCAAAAAAAAACCAAACCCAGCTGTGCTCAAGAGAACAAACAGCCGGTTTGACTGGCATAACTTAGCCTGTGATAGGGGCTTCAGACAGAAAAAGCTGTTCCAGGCAGGGATCGCACCTTCGATGCCAGCCAAGGGGAACCCACACCACCCGCCTGCCCGCCCTCGGGAAAGGGACCCTTTTCAACTGCGGTTCATTTATTCAAAGTAGTTTAACTGTGCTGATATCCCTACCACCATAGGCTTCCACCTATATGAGGAAAACCACAAAGGAAGGTACAAAAAAAGCCAGGGAAGGATTTTAGCGTGTGCTGCGTATTTCGCTCTGGTTCCCTAGAAATTAACACAGACAAAGTAATAACTACAAAAATCACTATTCATAGAAACAAGAATCCGCAGCCCCACGGGAAAGTAACTATTCCTGCTCTCCCTTCCCATCTCTGCTTGCAATAAAAAAAACCCCATGACCCTTTAGTTGAACACCTTCATTCACGTAGGCATTAGGTAGTTTTCAGGTTAATTAAATATTTTACCTTCATCTTGTCAAGACCAGTCATTGTTGCCAATACATTTAGTGTTCAGTTTGTAAACATAGTAATATGGGACGTTAACTACCAGTAGTTCTGCTGCAACTGTCAGTACTCCTTAGAGCATTTATTCATGTGGCTGTTCCCTTTTAAAGCAAGAGTCAAAGGTGTGCTTAAATGCGCAAACAGTATTTATTAAACCTGTATTCCATCAGCTAATTCCGAAGGAAACGTGTTTTTCACATTATAGCTCTTGAGGGTGGGAGAAGCAAAGCTATGGATCAAATCTGTTAACAGTATTGTTGCACAATTTTAATGCTAAATTGGCCTAAACGTTGCCCAATACTCTTTGGTTTCATAAAGGAGAAAGTTCAGCGTGTTACAAACTAAGGAGTTGCTCCTGCCCAAGTACTTAAAGACACATAGCAGCATTGCCTCCGAGAGGACGGAGAAACAAAAACCAATCTTTGCACAGCCCTATCTATCCAGCCAGCTTAATAAACCACCACCTTTACCCTCTGGAGCGATACTCGACTTCCTAGACAAAAGTAAAAACAATAACCTACATATCGGCAAGGCTTTTCGGCCGGCTCTAGCACCTGCCCTACCCGGCCCGGCTCAGCACGCTCCGCTGGCAGCAGCCGCCCTGAGCGGAAGATATTTCTAGATTTGGAAGAATTTACGTGCAAAAGCCAATTACTGGGCCTCCAAGCTGAGACATCGATTATCCTTCCTTCC